AAGTAGGCCACAAAAAGAGGAAGCCGAAAACGTCAAAAGCAGTGCCTAAGCACGAGGGTTACGGAGTCAGAAAATCGTCTGGCGGAAAAATTGCTCAAGTCACTCGACAAGAGCAAGGGTCTGGTTTTATGGAAGACATGATGCACCTCAGTAGTACGATAACATTAACTGTCCTACTATCCTCCACTCGTATTTTGTCATCAGCAGACAAGGCTCACGATGAAGCTGTCATACCAAACAAAAATGCTCAAGACGGAGAACAGGTGGCAGCCGTACGAAGCAAAAACAAGCGAGTTTCAACTGCAGTCAAACCCATCGGGTCTGGGGAGGTGGGAAACACAGGGGGCAAACCCAAGTGGGGTAATCTGGAAATCGGGGAGGCTAAACATGGGTCCGCAGGAAAGTGGAATAGGCGGCAGACCATGTGGGTCAATAACGAGCCCGTCGAACAAGCAAACGTGTTACCTAGGGACCAGGGCAAAGCTGGAGAGAAGATGAAAGCTCAACAAAAAGGGACCGAGCGTCAGAGGTCGACAGGACATACTACTATCCAGAATGATTCCTTGATCGTCATGAACCTGATGGACAGCTCTGAAATCCCATGTAGCCTTCGGGACAAGAATGATAGGGTTCTTTGGGAGGACGTACGCGGAAAACTGAAGCTGGACCACATAAAACCAGTAGCTGCAACTAGGCTCTATCGTGGTCCCGATCTAATAACTAAGGGCAAATCTCGTCTTTTGAGGCTCACATTCTTCAACTCGGATGATGTCGAGGATGTACTCTTAGCATCCCACGTGCTCGGAACTGAAGGGGAAGTAAGGATACTGCCAGACATCCCGCACTCTGAGAGAAAGGCTCTAAGGAATCTGTCGGGCGATAACCGTGACGCCTACTTCAGAGGAAGAAACCTAATAGTGCAAGGCATACCTGGGAATCCAGGCACCGAGGATATTCACCACGATTCCCGCGAGTGGAAGTTCCTCAAGAATACTATGAACCCCAAGGGAGTAATCACCCAAAGCGTCTCACGCATGCCCAAAAAAGACGACGATCCTAGACCAAGGCCGATCAAAGTGGTCATTCTGACTCATCAAATGGCAGCACTTACACTGGAGGCTCTCTGGGCGAACATAACTCGTCTGCCATCTGGAGTCCGCATGCAGCCTGATAGGTCACATCACGAAAGGCTGCAACGAAAACAGAAAAAAGCCGGACTAGTTGTGCCTCTGAAAGACTGCCTAGATGCGAAAAACGGGTAAGGGGCGGGGGAACACTACACTGGTGGGCAGCAATTAGGCACGGTCCCAGTCTCCAGCCAGTCAACTGGAAAACAGGGAAGGTGCAGGGGTTATATTTCAAGTACAGGGCATAAGTTGCACCTGCACTAATGCACAAAGTTTACTGAGCAAACTAGACTACCTGCGGTAACTAAGTGAGGACACCTGTGCTCACTTTATCGGTGTTACTGAGACATGGGCTTCATCTGACACGTCAAACCAGGAGCTGGAAATGGCTAATGCTATGCTGTTCCGCGATGATAGGAAGGGTGGTAGGGGGCTGGGGTGGCACTTTACATCAGTTCCTCTCTCCCAGCCCACCAAATCCATATCCAAGATTTGGTGGGAGTCATTATAAAAAGCCGTCTGCTGACTAACAGTATGACAACTGGATGCCGGAGGCAATCAGTTGGTCTCTCAAACTGGGGCACACAAGCGTGCTAATTTTAGGAGACTCTAACCTACCGAAGGTTAACTTTGCAGATCACACTTCTAGCAGGAGCGATGATTCCATTGTAGCGAGATTTTTCCATCTGACTGAGGTGCTGGGGCTTACGGAAAATGTGAGCACAGTGAAGCGAGTGGGGGAGACTCAAACTCCATCTCGCTTAGACTGAGTCTTCACGAATGAAGAATTCCTGATAGACAACCTAGCAGTCCTTAATCCTTTAAGCAGTAGTGACAACGTTGTCACCGGCTTCCAATTTGTTTGTGATACCAATGTAACCAGACACTTCAATGAACATCGTTGGAACTTCAGACGACTTGGCACTCTGGCTCTTCTAACTACAATGGAACAGACCGATTGGGAGGTTAACCATGTGTGGCAAGATATGAATACCCCTTGGAAATTCATACTTGATAAGATCTTGCTTGAGATCAGCCAGTCTGTTGCACTTTCGAGACTGAAGTGCTTCAGGTCACTTAAGGTAATAAGGAACCTCACTCTCAAGCCACTTGGGTTAAAGAGACATCACTGGGCTGAGCACAAAAGGACTGACACCAAATGTACCCACAGACAATTCAAACAGACGAGAAACACGTGTACGAAGGCTATGAGAGCCGATCGGCAGCGGCGTCAAGTCTGGCTTGCCAACAAGTTTTGTGCCTAACCCGAGAAGCCTCTTCCTCTACGCTGCTTCATTCCGGCAGGCTAAAGCGGGGGTCACTCAACTACTGGGTGCGAACGGACTGAATAATGATAATAATATATTTCATACAGCATAGGTTGTATGAATACAAGTCAGTTTACAGGTTTGATCGTTATGGTAATAAGAAATGACTATTATGTACAATGTTAAACCATACATTAGATACCGTCATTCATGGCATATGAGAGGTTTGTCGAAGCAGGCTCAGTTCGAAATTAGGGATTATTCGGTTATTGTTTGAATCTTCCAATATTCTTGAAGGTGATGCAGGCAGTGCAGTCGTGACCTTGGGGTGTGTGCGTTCGTCATAAGGCTTTGATTGCAAGGTGCACACTGACAAATGAGATTTCTAAAATTCCATTTGAATGCAGGACTGGTTAATTGAACCTGAAAAAATTGTTGAGTGGTATCCTTTTCACTTGACTTATGTAGTCGTCCCTCCCAACTACTTTCTTGTATGATTTACGCGCGTGCTTGAAACTAAAACAAAACGAAAGTGACGATAAAAAGTAGAAAATAAGAATGGGGTCGCTGAAATTATAAACTCTACTGCCTCAGCTCATTCTGCCCTACCCTGTTGTCTCTGCAGCTGTGATGTGGTAACACAACAGAAAACCATGATGGTCCTTCCCTTATGACTATGTAAAGCGTGTTAGCATCATGGCAAAAATCACGAGTCTTGTTCAAATGTTTATAACTTCGTTTGGTTTTTGCACACAAGTTTCCCGGATGTCCGCGAATGCCTGGTGCCACGACGATATCTCCTGTTTCAGTATGGTCTTCGCTACTCCCATATGTTCCTTCATCTTTTTCTCCATAAGCTGACCTCTAGATAGTCGGTTAAGGTTACTTCACCCAGCAAATTTTGTAGTCAGAACAATTGACTCACCTATGCGTGCCATGATTGATATACCTCCATGTAGAATTTTTGTGGTTCTATTTTGAGTTTGGCCTGCTACTCGATTTTCAGGACTATCTGGTCAGTACTTCATTCATATGGAATCCCAGTGGTCGTAACTATTAGCGCATACCACGCCCTTACAACTTTATGGTCACGGCTGTACCACCCTCACGAATACAAGAATATTCAATGGTTGAAACAGTGACTGAATTAGTCCTGATTACGAACTTGTCTTAATCTGCGAACACCTATGTTGGTGTTTAGCTATTTATTGTTTTTTGTTTGCCAAACGTTAAAGTTCTTCCTATAAACTTGTAGCGTCATACACTTCCCCAAAATCAATAGCCTAGGGTTTGACGACTTTCGACATTGATGCTGACCTTAATAGTTTAACTGGACTCGCTAAGCTGAAGGCACCCGGTCAAGCATCCTCGCCACTTGGCACGCTGTCGTGTTACGTTGCACTGCTCGTATTCGACTCTCTAGCCAGTTAGTTGGAACGCATCGGTATTTTGGCATGACCATCCAAATATACTATTCCATCCGACTATGCTATCGTGTTCTTCCTTGGTGTCGTATTCGTGGGTACATAACAAGTTCGAATAATTAGTGATTGATCTTTGCGTCTGTCAAGTTCGCACCAGGACAAATCCTAAAAACTCACCTTGTACGTGCCTTGAACAAAGATGTCTAATGTATTGCTTGTTATAGCACGTAACAGTGCGTACATGTTGCCAAAGTGATCACACCCGCAAGTTAATTTGTTTCCACGTAGCTTATGTTGTATGAAATAAGTACATTAAGTGCTGCCCAGAACTAATTGAATTTTCACATTTCAACAGCCACTTTTTCCTGTTAACAACCACGAGAAGTAGTGACCCACGGATCGTAGACGCAGAAGCCAGTGGAGCGGAAGCTTTTTCTATAACGTCAACAACCACGTGAACCATCTGAGCCACTGCTTCCATTCTCAGTTGAAGAATACACAAACTTCTGCACATGTACATTAAACTACCACCAAAACTTGTAATATACTATTGGTTGCACATAATATAACCCTACCGTGAACGTAAAGATGGCTTCAGAATTGCAGCGCAGTTGACACACTTTCCATCCCAGTCGGCGAAATATGCTCTATTTTGTGGTTTGGCGGATTCACTATGAAGCCTTGTACTATATCTTTCCTTTTCATAACTCTCAGCGTTTGCCTTACTCAGAACGTAGTATAAGATGGCAAAATATTACCGGCAATTACTCTGGGAAACTTGCTTTACACTGAAACAGCTAATAAAATTTACGTACTGGCTGAATACGATTGCATCATACCAGCAAACAGACAATTGTAGCGCAATATTATTCCTTATTATTCATTCATTCATGTAGTGAATTTCTCTAAACAACAATTTTTATAAAAAGTAATTTGAAATCCTCCTTCGGTAGTGGAGAAATGTATGCAAAAACAACGAACGAGCTTGACGTGATGTAGTTGCCGGGGTGTCCTTCAAAGTCAATGTCCTTTTCCAAAACGCGCGCTAGTATAGTTTACCGTTTGAAGTCTATATCGCAATATTTGTTTATCCTTACACATACACGGTTTTATTACAATAACTAAATATGCATCTACAGTTATTTGTCAAAAACCCTAAATGATTGCAGATTACAGGTCAAATGATTCCCACAAATATAAACAAATTTGAACAGGCTTGGCATATTACTGCTGGCGGTGTTATTAAGCTTTCCTGCGTGTTTAATTTCTATTCAGGTTTGGCTAATATTTTGTCGTGTATGTGAGATTACATTTGTCAGGTAATTCTCTATCTTTTCTGTCTGTGTATCCTCTCATTCAATTAACTTTCAACTCGCGGATCGCTTATGGCTGTTTTATCACTAGACGTTTTTCCGTTCATTACGTTGTATTGCTAGGGGTTGTAACACGAGACCAATGCTTTTTCAGCGAGGTTGTATGTTCTTGTTCACAATGCTAAAGGATATGTGTGTAAACAATATCGACTATGGACTAACCAGCTGTCCGGGATCTTAGTTTAAACAGAAACAAAAAAAAGAAAACTGCATAACTTCAATGATGAAGATATAATGCATGTCTCTAGTGTTCGGTGAGATATTGTTTCATGGAATATGCGTCGACTTTTGCAGTCAATATTTATGATGGAATCGTTTTTATGGTGCTTACTGATGAAAAGTTACCTGAGTTTCAGTTGTAGGCCACTACGGAGAATTGTTACTCAATTTTAAGTTGTTACATTTCTGTGCTTTCTCGGATATTGAGTAACTGCCAAAATATGGAAGATCCGTACCATATCACGTAATGCTGGTGCCCTACCAAACTTCTTCATATTGCTTCCCTGGGAAAAGATTTATGTTCGTCTTAATGGTCGGTGCATAAGCGTATCACTAACTTGCTCTGTATCTACTGTTTAAGGGCTAGCCAGCAAGAGTTAAGACTAAAATTGCGTATATTAGACATATACTTATTATATCTGCTTATTCTTGCAGAAAAGTGGTCGAAGCACTACTAAATCTTCAGTTGCTAATGCTTTATGCTGGTGCACCATAGTCATCGAACACACCTCCAAGTATCTACTTTTGGTTAGTCAGGTGGTACAGTGAGCTCAGTTTGCGACATCCTATTGCACGAACCTGCATATGATTATTGTATCACGGAGTGATATTTCCAGTTCTTTAAAATTATGTGGTTGATTTAGAAGGGAAACCAGCAGTGAAATCGAAATCTGCTGAACAAACTTGTGTACCTGTATGCAGTATGCAGTAAGCCACTTATTATATGCAGAATAGTGAAGTATCCTGGTCTCCCAGCAGGGAGACCTGGGATCGAACCCGTGACTCAGTGGGCAGAAGTCAAGCGCCTAGACCAATGAGCTACAGCTCCACTAAACGTCAGTGGTCAGATGGGAACGGATGTTTTCAACGTGGTTTGGTTGCCGATGATGAGGGACTTAAAGTAATATTTCCACCCTTGAGGTACTGGTGATCTCTATCGTCGTCAATATGCGCTAATACATTTCGAATAGCATCATTTTTAAGAACACACGATATGAATTACCTTTCTTAAAGCTGCGCATCCAAAATAACTTCCTAAATGGTTTAACCATGGTTGAAAATGCCTGAAACAGTGTCCTTACATGATCATCAACATAGGACTAGGCATTACTACGTAACGGTCTGACTTGCCACACCTCATGTCAATTCATCAAGTAAAAAGGCAACCAAGTTGGAGAAAAAGAAAACTCAGTCGAAAGGAATACAAGGTACGAAAAGAGAGAAAGTAAAAATGAGAAAATGGTGAGATCTGATATAGTGTTAAGATGAAGATAATATGTGTATGCATCTGCGCCACCGACTTCGGCTCTGAGCCATATCATCTAGAGTCTTGAACTACTGGTTCCTCTTGTCCCGCAGACCACAACCACCTAGTCTGCATCACCCCACATGGCTCAAACTAACAGTCAGAGACTTCATACACTTATATTTGGTCAGTACACTCGCGGCCGGGTTTAAAGCCTGCATGGTTTTCTCGGCTTGCTGTTCCCGAGCTCCGATCAGACGTCGAAAGATTATGGAACCTAGAATCTTAGATACCATGTTGGTCAGGCTGATTCCTCTGTGGTTATCACAAGAGGACCTCTCGTCTTTCTTGGAGACTGGAATAATCAGTGGTTTAGACCAGTCAGAGGGGATCGCATTTGATTCCCATATACTAGTTAACACCTCCTTCCAACTTGACTAAGAGCACCTTACCCCCATTCTTGTATACCACAGCAGGTAGTTCGTCTGGTCCTACCGCCCTTCCTCGTTTCCTGTTACCTACAGCTTTCTCGACTTCTGCTAGTGTTGGGGAGGGGGACCTATCTCAATGTTCCATTCAGGGTTTAACTGGATAGCAGGCAACGCAATGGTGGCTGGAGATCAGTTAAACTGTCCCTCGAAGTGTTTTGTCCATCGTCCCAGTCGTCTCCCCTGTGAATGAATTGCAGACCCGTCCTTCTCCACTATGGTCTCACTAAGCGTTGTTGTTCTTTTCCTCCCAGTTTCCTTAATAAGTCTAAATGGCTGTCTATTTTACCGATCACCGCTGCCTTTTCCATCTCTTTAGCCTTCGCTGGCCACCACTTCGCACTCGTTGCGTAGAATTTTTCTCAGTTTATTTTTAAGTTGTACTCGCTCTTCATTGTACTCAGCCTACAGGGACGCGTTCACGTGCATCCATTAGTTTGGAAGAAGCTGCTGATAATCACTGGTTCTTTTTAGCCACGATTTCGGAGTCGGCTATGGTCTTCAGCGCTGCTTTTACACCAGACTGGAGATGGTTGAGTGATAGTGTTCTGTTCCGATAACTGAAAGCGGCTTTGGTGTTTTCGTTGTCCAGCAGCACTCGTAATGGTTTTGTTGCCAAATGTTTCTTACGTCCATTGAGGCGCAGGCATATACGGGCTCAGACCAACGCGTGGTCACTATCCAAGCATGTACTCCAGAAGGAGCTGCAGTCTCCCACCGATCCTCTCCAGCGATGACTAATAGCAATGTGGTCTATCTGTGTTGAGCTCGGTGTACGCTACGTCAGACAGTGTCTTTTCTTATGTCTGAAATTTGTGCTGGCTAAAAATAGGTGATTATCTGTGCACAGTTGTAGTAGGCGATTACCGTTATCTGTTCGTTCAGCCAGGATTCCGAAAGTGCCACCTAAGTGCCTTTCTGCCTCACTCAGTCTACCCACCTGTGCATTGAAGTCACCTGCAACGGCCACCACATCTGAGCGTTTGGCTTTCAAGAAGAGGCTAGACAGTTTTCGGTAGGATTCGTCCTTCACTTCTTCTGAACTGCAGTCAGTGGGTGCGTAAGCAGCAGAGATTACAGAGACAACTGCGAGTTTCACTACTCCTTTTAGTTCTCACTGTGCCGTTCATTCGGACAGCGCAGAGGCGACTGTCAACTGGGATCCAGTATAGTAGTGAGTTTTCTGCTCTAGTGCCTAATACTATGCCTACAGCTGCAAGACCGCAAGAGCTAGCTATCGAATCTTCAGAAACTCGAAGGTTGAATTTTGCGGACTCACTATATTGGCTGGGAGAGGTTAGGTGAATAACCACACTCGAGTCCTGTATGTGTGTTTCACAAACACAGCACATATCCATGACCCGAGTTGCTACAGTCTTGATCAATGAAGCCTGTTGACCAATTTGACGGAGGGTACGGACATTGAGGCCCCGATGTCTAATTTGGAGCGTAGTTTAAGGTGACCAGGGATGCTGTTCTGTGGATTCAGATCGTTGTTGAAAGCTGCAGAGCTAAGAGAAATTGAAGATGACGTATCGTTAATTGAGAGACAAGAAGGAAGATTAGAAGGTAATAATGAGGGAGGTGGATAGCAGTCTGAAGAAACTTGAGTGTTGAAAGTGTTGAGAGCGGTTGACGCTTCCCGGCTGCCCACACCGTGGAAGGCTATTTCTTCTTAAGGTACCTGAAAGAGATTTGTATGACTGCGGAGCCCGTCGGAGATCTTCTTGTGGCCTTTTAAGTATGCTTGTTTTGAACTTTTGTTGTTTTGGGGCCGGATGGTAGAAAAGAAACGACAAATGAACCAACACCGCTAGCCCGGCGGACCGTGAAGTATAGTGGGATGTGTTATTTTTGGGGCCGACTTTCCTAACCCCCCTTCCAATGAGAAGACATCATCAGCATTGCACTGTTGGTCATGCAAGGGAAATACCTTACTAATGTCACGCCCCATCCAGCTAGCAGCAGAACGACCTCGCCCTCAGACCACCATCATAGTGTAGTAATTTTCACCACAACGGTAACTGCTTTTCGTCTAATCACTATTTAACAGACGTTTCTGGTATAATAGCACCTCGAGGGAACAGGTGCTCCACCAGCATAGCTCGTTGGGTCATTGTGATATTCAAGGCCAATCACCACGTCAAAGTAGCATCTATCGGTCGCGTTATCGGTCGTTACTTTTTCCAGTGACTCTCTCAATCCACGTGGTACCTGAGTTTTGGTGTGAGCCATATTGAGAGGTGTGGACTACTTAATTGCGTTCGTCGAGAACTCAATGGTTGGAGACAGTGAAGATTGCTGAAAATCGCTCACAATGACACAGATGTATTCACTCTTCCAAAGTTTCGATATTCTCACTAGCTTTCATTTTGGAATTCTTCTTCCTCCATACACCTTTTTCTGCTTTGATATCAGCCTTGTTCTATCCATTTGTTCTTTGCATGCTAGTGTGAAGTGTGGGAACTAGGTTCCACGTATATTTTTATCATACTTTTTGTCAGTCTCTACATATCTACTCTAAACATTCTCTAAATACCTCAGCCATATCAGTCATCAGCAGCAGCATGGGCAAAGGCATTGCTGCAAACCAAACGAGAATGCACTAAGGTGAACGATAAAGAAACAAAGAAGAATCAACTAAAAAGTAGTAGAAATAGAGGAAAGAAGAATATTGAATTCAGTAGGACGACCGAGGTGAGGATGATATATGGATACATCTGCACCATCGACATCAATTGAGTCATATCACCCAGTCTCTAGCCGCTGGTTTCTGTTGTTAAATGGACCCCAATCGGGAACTCTTCATCCCCCTACACGGACCAGACTAACAGCCAAAGATTTCATGCTATAATACTGTCTTAGTCTAGTTGTCCCTAACCTTTCTTCAGCCTAAAACTACTTCGGCAACATTGTGTGAGGAGGTAGACGGTGACTAGGCATGTGAAACGCATGTCTCAGCGATGATACCAAGACACAGCCGATACTACGATGGCAACGGTGGCCAAACCTAAAGCCTTCTCATGTCCTCCTTACCTTCAGTGGACATGTTTCATGTTCGACTTGCTAAGTTAAGTGGTCAATATGGTCAGTCATTTCAGCATTTTCAGCAATATTCACTGTCTCCAACCATAGAGTTTTATGTTCTCGACGGACGCAATTAAGTGGTCCACACCTCTCAATATGGCTCACACCAACACTCAGGTACCTCATGAATTGGTACCATGTTTTGGTCTGGCACGTCTTGTCCTTAGAATGAGCATTTATATACCGTTCAGAATAGTGCCAATTCCTTAAATACGTACTTAATGCCCTCGTCTTCCAATCGGGAATAGACAGGCTTTGCTATCACCTGTTTCTTGCGACCAGTAAGGCGAGGACATACACAAGCCCATACTAGCGCGTGACCGGAGTCCAAACACTTACTCCAGAAAGAGCAACAATTCTCCACTGATCCTCTCTAACGATGGCTTTTAGCAGTATTATCTGCCTGTATCATTCATTGGTTTGAAGTTAGCGAACATCATGTAAGACTGTCGTTCTCCTTATGCCCAAAGTTAGTGCTGACCAGAAACAAGTGATCTTTGCAGCAAAATTGCAAGAGACAATCACCATTGAGAGTTCATTGGGATAGGGTTTCGTAAATACCCCCAAGATGCTTTTCTGATTGACTCAGCTTCCTTACTTGAGCGTTAAAGTCACCTGGCATTATAACTACATTTGAATGTTTTTTTTTCCTTTCTGTGGCACGGTTAACAATTCCTTATCGAATTCATGCTTTGTACCAGCTGAACTCTATCCATTTGGTGCGTAGGCGGAAATTACGAATAGACATCGGTTGGTCTTATGTTCCTGCTTGTTACTGATCCATTCAGGCATATCCAATGGGGAAGGGTTTTTCTGCTGTACAAGTCAATGCCATGCCCACACCAACATGTAAGACCAGTTGATTAACCACACTTGAGTCCTGCATACGTGTCTCAGAGACAGCATACATCCATGGCTCGAGATCGCATGGTTTTGGCCAGCATTACTTGTCAGATTTGGCATGGAGTTCGAAGGTTAATAGCTCCTACATGAAATCGACTGCAGGATCTTAGAAGACTAGGAACGGTGCTTTGATGCGTTTGATCATTCTCGATAGTTGCAGAATGAGAGGTTTAGGAAAGTGTGGTAATCAAAAGGTGAAGACAAAAGTGGAGATAGAGTTGAGGAGGATAGGTTGTATTTGAATGAGTCTTGTATACTACTGGTAGCATATGGGTGCTTGACACCCCAGCTACCCACGCCGTGAAAGGCTATTTCTTCTTGAGTTACTTGAAAGGGAAAAAGATTTCTGTGACCATAAAGCTCATGGGACATCTGCTTGAGGCAGGTAACACAGCTCTTTGAAAATTCTGGTTTATTTCTTTTTTATTCGACCATGAATCTCTGTTGCATGCATTGATATATTGCGAGGAGTGGAAGTGTGCTATTTAGGTTGCCGACCTTTTCTAACCCTCCCCTCTGTTCCCATAGGGAAGGCAGCATAAGCGTGGCACTGCTGGTCATCCAAGTGAAACATCTTACTGCTGTTTTATTCACCATTCAGCCAGCAGTACGACTTCACCCACAGACCTCCATCGTAGCATATCAGTTAACACCATATTGGTAACTGCTTTTGTCTAACCACTATCCAACAAACGTTTTTGGTTTGCTGGACCTTGAGGAAACAAGCGTTCCACCACCATAGCTTGTCAGGTCATCGTGATGCACAAGCCTGACCGCCACGTCAGTGTAGCAGCGGTCGGTCTGGGGAAAGTACTAAACATGATTTCATATCCATTAGGTACCTTTACGCTTGAAAGATTAGACTTGATAAGTCAGTATTGAATAGATAATCGCTTGGAGTGAGTGGCAGTTGTTGGTTTGTTTTATTGTCTGGCTCCCTGTAATCCCGGAAGGTATTTTACTATCAAATTAAAAAACGCCTTTCGTGGAAGCCCCCTTTATATTATTTGGAACTCAGCGAAAAATGTTGCTAGATTTTTATTATTGACGTTATTGCACTAATTATCATCAGTGGTGGTCAAGGTTACCATTTTAGAAACACTAAAGGTTTGACCAGTTGCCTAATTCCTTATGTTTTTTCACAGATGTTATGGGAAGATGTGGAAATACAACTCAAAATTGGTTCTCAGCAATCGAGAAAGGCGATCTATCTCTGGTACGAAAACTATGGAAGGATATAAGTGATATTGATGTCACGGATACTTATATTCTGAATAACATAAAGGTATTTCGTCCTAGTGTTAATTTGTTCGTTAGCATGAAAATGTTACTGGATTGATTATTGGTGCTCATTACGGCTATACGGATGTGGTTAGGTGGCTTTTGAAAAACAAAGCAAATGCAAATTGGGAAACAAATGTTTGTTGCTCATTTTGTGTATTATATAGAAACATTTTTAGCTTAAATGGCGTCCAATTCATTTTGCAGCTAAGCGTGGTCATTGTGCCACTGTGGATATGCTTTGCTGCAGTGGAGCAGTTGTTGATCCAGTTACAATGGTATGTATTCTTACGTAATCTTATTGTTCTAGGATAATGAAACGCCTCTGTCGTTGGCGCTACAGTCCCACATGCGAGATACTGTACGCAAGCTCGTACGCCTAGGAGCACAAACAAGCAAAAATAACGAAGTAAGTATTATGCACTAGAAATGTTCATGGCTGGTACTTTAGCTTTTCATAGACAGTAATCGATGACTTTCACTGTTAACAATAGTGTACACAGTTATGATGGATTAATTATCACTTCATTTCTTTTTGTTGTTTCAGGGTCTTGCTTATCACTGTGTTTATCGTGGCATGCTAGTATCTGATGACTCATCAAAAACTCATGAATGTATGGATACTAATCGTGACAAAGACTCGCAGTTACGGGGTCAGAGTTTGCGAACCAATTCACCATCCGTACTCCCCATCGTTTCTTCACCATACCTAAATGACAATGCTGAAGATTTTTCAGTTGCAGTTTTTGATAGTCAAATAATCATGAATCAGCTTCAATGTCAATCGACAAGTTATGATTTGGAACTTGCCAGACGAAAAGAGAACTTATCAGACGCTTACCTCTCTTGCCGTGCATGTCACAACAGTCAGCTAACCAATTCATCCAAATGACTCAGCGCGCTTCTCGAGCAGATTTACCCATAGACAGCCGTCTTTCCGCTGTTTCTCATTTATTTAACTTGCTTCCTGCTTTGTCGCCGAACGATAATTATGGCGACCTTTCTAATAAAATGGTACCGATTAACTCTGTTAGTGAACCTTATTTGCGTCTCATTGAGGCGTGTCTATGTGAAACTCATTGTCCATTGGAACTGAGTGTCCAATTAAGTAGGCTTGCTGCATATATGGCAGGTTTGGGTGCGGGTAAACAAAATGATATAAATGGATCTGTCGCTGGAGATGATTTCTCTCCTATATCAAACACGCCATCTGCCTATGTTATTTCTTACATTTTAAAGCTACTTCGAAAATTAGTTCTCAAAGGAAACCCACAGTATAGGTCAGGTATACTTGCACATCTGTCACGCATCTTATCGGACCTGTGCGTACCAACGAACGATAAAAGTGGACGCTATATTAGTAGCGTTTGCTCGTGGTGTGATCTGTTGCCTATTATTTCCAGCATTATTTCAAATCTAATTCGCTTAGGTGAGTCTCTGGATCAACCATTGAATGTACCACGCTTTGCACAATTAGTTGGTCTCATCGCCCGTTGTTTGGTTAGTGCTCTTCCGAAGGCTGGTTCAAATTATTACTCTTCACGGTTTTCTGATCTTGCTGATATTCTTGTAGGTTGGAGCGTAGATTCGTCCGGTAGCTCAAAAGATGTAAATGTAGATACTATCTATGAAGAAATCCACTTCGGTCTTTCATACTGGTTTCTCACTTCCACCGAAGAAAAAACAGGAGAATTAAAACAAGTGTTACTGTCATCGACTATAAACGAAAATATCCGAGAAATGGTCTCTCATTTACTGGAAGATAGCGAAAATTCTCTAAATACAGCTATTTCAGAGTATACTACTCTGAATTGTAAGCGTGGTCCTACAGTGTCAGGAAACGCAAAACCTGCATTAGACCCAAACGCTCATTTTGTATCAGTTCAACTTTTTCTCAACGCTTTGTCTAGCATATTTGGAGGTATCTGCAACTATGCGTTTGCTTCTGGTAATATTTGTTTTGAAGATTTAATGTCTGAGAGTGTTTCACAATGGATTGAACGTCTTCTACGCATAAGTCAATCAACAAGTGCCCATTACGCTTCATTGCTAATGCAGAAACAAAATGCATCTTGGCATTCATCTCATGCTGCAATATCTACTCCTTGTGTTCCGCTTATTGTCTTGGATGGGATTCAGTCTTCAATTTTTCAACTGTTAAACTGCTTGGTACAGTTTTCTGACTGTTCAAGTGCTGATATGCTAGCCGTAAATAACTGCGCAATATCTAGTGTCGATAGTGGAAGTTTGATTTTTACCAATGATTGTTTAGCATCTTTACTTGATCTTGTCTCCACAATCCTGACAATCAAATATTCATCAACTGTAGCTCCTGCAGATCCTTCTTCACTATTCATCTATTTCGATTCTCATTCGAAACTGCACCACCTTAAACTGTGTTGTAAATCAAATGGTAAAAGAACTAGTACACCAAGTCAAAAAATCTTCAAAGTACTGTGTTGTTTATCGTCCTTGAAACCTCTTCAAGGTGCTTTATGTGAATTGGCATTATCTGATCTTCGATTGGCTACAGGATCACAGCAACATTCGGATTTATCCCTGTCTTCAAATAGCCGTAGATCTGAAATTCTGGGATTATTCAGTATATCTTTGTTAACCATTGTGATGCAAAACATATCGTATGAACTTAAAAATGAATTACTTTACCGTTTGGCTGAGATTATTCGTACACATTGTTTGAAGAACTGGGATAATCTTTCCACTCGCCTCAGAGCTGTTCTGCTGTCATTTTTGAATAATCCATCAGTTTTCAAAATGTTTCAACCTGTTTGCATCATGGATATGCTGACTAATTTTCTTTCTATGAAAAGTGTTTCTTGTGTTGAGGGTTGTATTCTTCTGAATTTGATCGATTCACTTCTATCAGACAATGTCTTGAGATATGATGACCAACTGCATTTGTTCACTCATCTTATAGCGTTGTCGAAACGTACACTTGTTTCAAAAGTTTCACTGGATTCAACTCAACAAAATGTGTTTATTTTGTGTGTGAAGTTGCTTATCAAATATGCTCTTCCTTGCATTAAGATGGAAATACAAAACTTGCTTGTTATCTTTTGCATTTGTCTCAACTCGCTTTGTCTTATCCATGCTTACAGGTTCAGAAAGCCGGTAATGATTTGTTGTTACTAGTATCATCATTTGCTTCCACCAAAATCGAATTCCCAGCAGTACGCTTGTATTCAGAATTGCTTTGGTTCACCACCCGTCGACCAGATTATTCATCCACGTCGCTATTATCTGTATCTGATCCTAGTCATTCCGATTCTGATAATAACAGTTCAGTGGATACATCCACTTCTTTCCCTAGTCTTCCTGCTGTTGCAGGAATTCTGGGGATTTTGACAAGAGGAGCTCCTTACACTCAAAAAACAGAAGGCAGTCGACTACAAATTTTGAAAAACCCAAGTGACTGGATACGACGCTTGTCGTGCCTAATATCTCCACTTCCATCAGATCGCAAGTGCAGTTTGTTACTGTTACAGTGCACTAGTTTTGTGCAACCGGTATTATGGCATGCCGCATGGGCAATGGTCGATTATAAATTGAAAGTTGCTCCTTGGGCTAATCCACTTAAAACACTTTTTTCTCTTGAAGGGACTTTGAGAGCGTTCATACAACCAGTTTATGCCAGTGATCCTTCCAACGGAAACTCATCTATAGTCTCTTTCCATGTAGCATCTTCAGAAGCTCTTTCTCATCAGACAACCAATCGACAGCTGAATCAAATTCATTTGCTTATAAACTTTTTGGATTATCTTGAGCGTATTATTTTCAATGCAACCAGTGGTTTCGCGCTCGCATTACCTCGTCCTGCAGCACCTGCTTCTGTATTCTTCTCAGCAAATGAAAATACTTGTACTCATTGGTTTAATAGAATTCGAAATCTTCTCGTCCGTATTTCAAGTGATTTACCATTGGTATGCAGAGCCGGTGTGGGACCTTCTAACGAAGTTTTATCTACTGCTGTTTATCATGCATATAGCTTACTCAAAATTGTTTCTGATTGCAAAGACTCAAAGGATTGTGATACGTGGCTTAAAAATCTAAAACAGTATGGTGGGTCAACTGACGTACTTATTCACCTATCTGAAGCACTTCGTAAATTAGGTGCCTGGAAGAACTGAAAGCTTTAGCACAGTAAGTAATGTAGACTAAAGAACTATTCTCATCTTTATCCTATTTTTGTTTGTTTAACCTAACCTAAAAACTTTTGTAGTTATTTAGACATAGAGTTTAGTAAACTAATATCCTAAGTTTTCGTTGCGTTTCCACTTTTACGTTTTGGGTTTCTATTGTTTTTTTTAGTGGACTGTTATCCAACTGCACATTGATAAAGTCTCAGTCATTCATATGGTGTAGACACGGTACACTTGGCAACTGGCCCCATTGATAATTGAAATTATGAGGCGTACCAGTCTGACAAAGTGTGATGACTTTTGGATGATTCCTTCATGGGTGTCTGTAAAGTGGTATCTCCTAAAATTGTAACTTGAATGTTTCAGTTAAAATTTAAGTCAGTTCTGAGTTTGTGACTTGTTATGTCACTTATTCACCTTTCGTCCAGTGAGTTATAAGTATCAAATGCACCTACCAGTTCAGTTCGAGCAAAGTAGTGTCATTCAGCCTCATATAATAGATAACTCAACTTATTATTTGGATCTGTGTCTGTTGTTGGGTGACGTTTCATAAACTATAAACTTAATCATTATGATTCATTTCCTCAGAATATCCTTACTTCCTAATGTTCATTACTGCATATTTTGATCATTGCTGTCGAGAGCGAAACGTCAACATTAGATGCTATTTCATTTTACCACTTAGAAGTTTCGTTTTCACATTTTAGTGCTGATCGATTTCCTGAGTAGTTTATTTGAAATTAAACTTAATGTCATCCACCTGATAATTTTACTAAATTTTTTTGTCAGATAGTTCCTTGACGTAATTACTAGCATATACCTTCCACTTTCAGGTGGTTAGATGACCTCTTTGCCGTAGAACGAAATCCATTTTCATGGCTTCATGGTATTTGTTCTTTAACTCGTGGACATTGGGATAAAGGCATTGAAAAATTAAATCGTTTTCTGGATTCTAATTTGTCCAAGAGCAAGATCATTTCTGCAGAGAATTTGGTTACCAACAACGTCAATGAGTTTTCTGATCAAACACTTTCTTTAGTGTATGTCGCGGATGTCCTTCTTCAAACTTATATTTCCGAAGGTGACTATCATAGCGCGCTTAAATTACGCAATCGTATAAAATCTTGCTTGAAAACAAAAACACTGAAACAATACTCTGCATTTCAACTGACATCAGCACGCCTTGACTGCCTAAATAAATTGTCTGAGTAAGTTAATTTACAATTACTATTTGATTGCTTTTTATTCACAAATGATATTATGTTGGTTTTTTGAGTATAGTTTTGGAGTACATATTTGGTGTGGCCAAGTGCATAACGCCACATTAGCCTTTTGAAGTCCGATGACACCGACTGTAAGTTGACCTGTTCTTTAAAGGAATTTACTTAACTGTTTAGTACTGAAGAGTTAAAAGTTGATATTTAGATTGTTATCTTCTGAAATCTAAATTACTTAACTATGCCTAACTTATTTAAAAACAAACAGTCAATAACATGATAATGGATTCAGTAATAATTTCATTGGGTGGATATCCTTCAAGAATAGTATAACTGATTATTAATTGTCTTGTCTTCAAGTCAATCAACGTGATCGGTATCTTAGAATTTAAAAAGCTGCGGCTGGTTAATTTTAACTCTTAACATCCAGCTATTATTCACGAGTTCAGAACTCATTCTGATTATAGGTTGTTTTAGGTGGCTTTATGATATTTGTCTACCTGCGGTATGTTTGCCTCTTAACCTAGCATACGAGCCTGCGCATGTTTGCTCAGTAGCAGTTATTCAGCCCAAAACTGAAATTGTGACCGTTTCTTTCCAGTTGATCCTATCTTCTTAAGGTGAAACTAGTGTACTGATTTATGGATATGGTCATGTTTTCTATTTCCAAGAATATATAAGATTTTAAAAGGGAATTCCAGAACAGCAAATGAGAATTTTACGGTTTCCATTTTCAATTTGACTAACAGTCATATACCCTTTGACTATTGCAGTATATACCCCTTATTGTCGCTGATTTTTTGTTGCTTTCCATATCCACAGATGGGCTTCTACAAATGATGTTAGAGACAATCTGACTACAGACACCTCACAACCCTGGTCCCAAAATTCTCTTCGAACGCAACTGGATAATTTGCTGGTGAATGCTACTTGTTCAATGCGCAAGAATTCTGACAGTTTACATGATAATTCATCGTTTATGTGCTTTTCTGAGTTAGCTTCCATAGTAAGACAGAGGTCGGCAAGCGCAACCTTTCTTCCTCCACTGAATTTGTTCGCTGATTTTTACGCTCAGTCAAGTTCTGTTTTAAATGGTGGTCTACTAGATTGGTTGGTTAAAGCTGAATTTTTGATCAATAAACAAACGTATGCTTCTTACGAAACATCAGATCCTATAAACTATTCTTCATGGCTTCACGTCACTCCATCCAGTTCGAAATCCCACTCTGACGCTGAATTTTCAGCATGTCAGTGGGCTTGTTTAAATAACTGCCCAAACCTTGCACAGCGCTTACTTGTTAGAGCAGCAAAATGCCTTACCCTTTTTGACTGTGATATCTCTACAAACAAAGAGCAAAAATCATATTTTGATGAGCTTTGTAATCTCGCTTTATCTGGTTCAGGTGGTATCATGTCAAAATTATCACAACTGAATACTTTGCGATTTTATAACTATATGGCCAAAATTCTGTGGTTGTCATGTGATGAAAGAAGCCAAAATGAACACCACAAGAAAATAAAAGCAATTGCAATATTAACATCTGGTTTAAAGTTGGCATTATCTGAAAACGTCAGTTGTGATGTGATTGAAACTGCATCTCAGTGTAATTTAAAAGCTGAAATGGCCCTTACCCTTTTCGAATGGTTAGAATCACCTTCGAACTCTGGTAATATTTCATGGGCTGAGAGAATACATCGTGGTTTTACGCGATCAGATGTGTCAGAACAGAAGGTAACTAAACCAACGCACTTCGTTTTTTGATCTATCGAAATACTAGCTGTATTCTTGACTCATTTTGGCAGTGAATTCCAAGGTACATTGCTTCTTAAACACTTTTTGATCACATACTAAACAGAATTTTAAAGCCTAAGCTGTCAACCATAGCCGAACATGTTACCCAGTGATTATGAATTAAGGGTTTTTAAACAAGTGGTGTATGGCCCCACTAAAGTCAAAGGAAATCCTTCTTTCCCATGCAGAGGTTAGCTAAGAATGTGCACCATTCTGTGAACCGAATTGGTTTGAATATGGTGATACCAATCTATCTAGGGTCATTGGGTGGTGGGCTAAAGCAGATGAGAGCGTGAATAAAACCTAATTATAGAGGTCACATGTACAGAACAATGGCAAAAACCTAGTTATTGACTTGAATCAGAAACAACTATTCCGAGTTATCAATTTCCGTTTTCTTACGTAGTAAGAAAGATTGAATGATGGAGATCGTAGTATATTACTTAAATTTGCTTCATTTTCAAAAAGCGAAAACGTTAAAGTATTTTTGAGATGAATAGGGATTTTTAATTTAGAGGTAGTATTCATCATGGATTGACATCAGTTGGTGAACCATTCAAAATCTGGGAGTACTGGAAAGCTATTTTGTTCTAGTATGGGATTTCTCGGCAGTACGCACCCACGATCCGGCTAGGGATCGAACCCACAACCTTCAGGTTTCACGGCAAACGCGCTAACCATTCAGGTATATTGTGAATCGACAGAAGTTGGAGATTGTGAATGACTTAAAACCGACCAGTGGCTGAATGGTTGGTGTGTTCGCCGTGAAACCTGAAGGTTGTGAGTTCGATCCCTAGCCGGATCGTGGGTGCGTACTGCCGAGAAATCCCATACTAGAACAAAATAGCTTTCCAGTGCTCCCAGATTTCGAATGGTTCCCCAACTGATGTCAGTTTATGATGAATACTACCTTTAAATTAAAAATCCCCATCTCAAAAATACATCACTGTATAGTGCTCATTAGTAACTTGCTTCCAGATGGATATCACGAAGTTCTAATGAGAAGCCGTGACTTGTAAAGTCAACTAGTCGGAAGTGAAGCGGATGCCAACTGAAGACCTTGGGTGATAGTCGCGCTATGTAGTGAATTGACAGAAGTTGGAAATTGTGAACCACTGAAAACCGACCTAGTGGCTTACCGCGTTCACTGTGAAACCTGGAAGTCGTGAGTTCGATCCCTAGTCGGATCATGGGTGCGTACTGTCAGGGAGTCCCAAACTAGGACGAGACAGCTGTCCCCAACTGGTGTCAATCCATGATGAATACTACCTCGGGAACGTTGAAGTTAAGTGGACGATCCAGGGAACTATGGTCATCGAGTGATGTCCGTCAACGCCGCCCATTGTCTCCATTCTTATTCAGTTTTATCATAGATATTCTTATGGTCTCCTTCTTGTCACCTGACTACACAAAGGTTGACCTAATCGCAGGAGAATTTTCGTTAGACCTAGAATATGCAGATGACATAGTCCTGTTACATGAAGACTCTGACAAGATGCAGAGTCTTCTGAACACTTTACTTTCAGTGGCAATTTGAGAATATTTGGGATGCGTTTCTCACTATCCAAATGCAAATTGTTGCTCCAGGATTGGTCTTCAACTGTGCCCCATCGCGGTTGCGTGTACTGCGCAGCAGTCCGTCCTGTTCTATTGTTTAGCTGTGAAATATGGCCATCGAAGGTGGAAGACGTGAGAAGGCTCCAAGTGTTTGACCACCGTTGCCTTCGTTGTATAGACCGTATTCCGTGGTGTCACCAGGTGACTAATGCAGAAGTCAGGTATACAGTTTTAGAGAGTAGAGGTAAATCAGTTGACGAGGTTATGAACCTTCATCGATTGAGATGGTTGGGACACGTACTACGTATGCCTGGTTGCAGATTGCCTCGTTACACAATGTCGGCCGAAGTAGGTTTAGTCTGGAAAAAGGCCTGAGGTGACAAGACTAAAACATGGCATAAGTGTATGAAGTCTCTGACTGTTAGTTTGAGCCATGTGGGGTGATGCAGACTAGGTGGTTGTGGTCTGCGGGACAAGAGGAACCAGTAGTTCAAGACTCTAGATGATATGGCTCAGAGCCGAAGTCGGTGGCGCAGATGCATACACATATTATCTTCATCTTAACACTATATCAGATCTCACCATTTTCTCATTTTTACTTTCTCTCTTTTCGTACCTTGTATTTCTTTCGACTGAGTTTTCTTTTTCTCCAACTTGGTTGCCTCTTTACTTGATGCATTGACATGAGGTGTGGCAAGTCGGACTGTTACATAGTAATGCCTAGTCATATGTTGATATTGATGATGATGTTGCTGAAGTGGACGGCCACACACAAAGCGTAGTAAATAAGTATGCAATAATGATGTGACTTAACGACCTGTCTTTTGTTCGACCACTAACTACTTTTCAGCTATCCAGACTGAAATGGGCAATGTCAGTTCGAACATGTTATATAACTGTAAATTTATCACTAGTAGAATATGAATATCGGTTTCCGCAAGGCGATTTGGAATCTAACAAGTGTAACGATAACGCTCAAACCTCATGAAACTGTCTTCGATTATTACTGTTTATTGCTGCATACTGTCATCAAGACATCAAAAAGAGAAGCAAACGATTATGAGTGGCGGCGTAATGTATGATTTATAGGTTTTCCTGAAATGACTTCTGATAAATCATCTAGATCTCAGTACCCTGGAATGTAATATAAAAATCAATGTGGGTTTTAGATTTTCAAAACTGCGATTAAAAATGTTACTTATTCTAGTTTTAGATTAAAATAAACCTATGTCAATAAGTGCTCAAATAGATGCTTGTATCCACGAAGCCACTAATGTTGATAATCTTGCTCTCATGTATGAAGGATGGACAGCATGGGTATGAAACCATTCAAGCAAATGGTAATCTCATTGAGCTTCCAACTTCAACATCGACTTTTGACTGCGCGATCCCGAAGATCAGGTGGTGAATGGATTGATCAAGTAGTACCTCTAGGTAGCTTGAGGAAATCCTGCCATTCTATCAATTCTGCATACATGAGAACATTATCAGATGCCTATTTATTTTGATGAATCGATGGTAGGTAATTTATGTTGTCACTAGTATCTGTTTACTGATTTCGGTCGTAATGAGCTACATACCTAACCACATTCTAATAATTCTATGATTCATTATTTTACTCTATTAGGAGTCGCTTTTCGTTACATAATATTCGACTACATATTTAAACGCACTTCCTCAGTCCGTTTTGGTAGATTATGTTGTCTTGTAGGATGAATATCAGTGTGGATTGATGCTCAAAAGTATTTGTTATTCAAGCTACTTGAGTTCATGAATATTCAGACTGGTTTTCTAGCGTTTACTACTCATAAGCTCCGTTTAGTTTTGTAATGATTATCGACTGGGTTTTCGAGACGATACGAATCAGTGCTGGAGGACTTGGTTAAATAGCTGAAAATCGGTCACAATCGAGCAGATATTTTGACTAACGTTAATTTTTACATTTCCTCTCCCCCCCCCCCCACACACCTATCTGCTTGGATCCCAGTTTTTTCTAACCACTTGATCTTTGCCTACTACTGTGAAGTGTGGCGACTTTAACCAATGCACTTGTATGCTAGGTTCTACGTTGATTTTGTCTATCTGTCTGTGTGTCAGTAAGGATTACGTAACCTGAAATCTTATGATGTATGTCCATTGGACTTATTCCTTTGTGGTTACCACATTAGGATTTCTCGGTTTGATGATGATGGGGGACATTCAGCAATTGAGATCAGTCAGTGTGGAGAATATTTTTAGCTCAGGTGGTGTGGCTAATAGACCAACAAATTCCCTTCAAACCATGTTATACAGACCAAAAGACCCAACAGCCAAAGAAAACTAAATTTCATATACAAAATCGACTGCAACAAATGTGATCAACACTACGTTGGGCAGAGTGGTCGCCCTCTTCGCCTTCGTTTATATGAACACCAATTGGCTATTAGACATCATGACATTTCATCGTTCATGTCAATGCATGTAGATAACTAAGGACATAAATTTGGTTTTGACAATGTAAAAATCTTGGACAGACGAAACACAGAATATCAGAGAATTCCTAGAAGCTTACATTTAGATCAGTTAGCAATCGACAGATGTATACAGATGGACCCAACCAGTGAGAAAAATGATAAACAACGAAAAGGTCAGAGGTCAGGCAGAGAAACAGCCAATAAGAAAGTCTGTACAGTCAATGACACAACAACCAATCACGGGCCAGTTTGTCAGGGTAAGCTAATGAACACCTATGGAGAAATATTGACTGCTCACATCATATTGAAGTTAGTACTGTTGATGTCGTTTAGAAAGACAATAAAAGCTTCTCGATTAAACCACCCAACTCAGAAAACATAACACAACCAAGACCACTCAATGTGGCTCATATCTGATTATCACGCGCTAGCCAACATATTAGCTAATTCAGCCATTAGTCCTCCAACGTCGTCCCTATATATATACCCCTAGAGAAGGTTTTTCTTTTGGGCTCATGGTCCTCCCTACTTTCAAGTTGCTTACAGCCTTTTCAATTTCTGCAAGAGCTGAAGGCATATCTTTGAGTTCCATTCAGGACCTGACTGGATAGCGGGTAACCGAGGACCAGGTAAAGGCCAGTTGAACCATTCCTTGCGGCGTTCCTCTAATCGTTCCAGTCGTCTCCTGTGAGCAAATCTCAGATCCATGCTTCTCCGAAAAAGTCATACTGACTGTTGACATTTTTGCTCCAGTTTACTTGGTCAGCCTGTCTACTACTACTACCTTTTCCTCTGTCTTCTCTATCTTTTTCGACTTCACTGCTGATGGTCATAGTGTAGATTCTCTGTTAGTCTACATTTTAGGAATACGTTTACGTACGTCTATTAATTAAAAAGCTATTAAAGTTCACTGGTCTTTTCTAACACTTCTGTCACAGTGTCCTGAACTTTATGCTACAG